TTCCACTTCTTTAATTCTAGGAAATGACACAAAAATTTAAATTAACAGTCCAGCAGTTTAAAAAAAAAAAAAAAGGCAAAACATAGATGGAGAGAACAGCAGTGGCACTGGCAATTGTGGTCTGATCTGCTGGTTGCAGTGCTACAACATCAGAAAGATGTTCAGCATTTTGCAAGGCCTGACCAGTCCCTTTCTAACACAATCCACAAGAAAGAGTATCAATATATCATGCTCCCAATTTGATCAATGTTCACACTGGAAGTATATTTATACTTGGGTCTAATACATTGTTTTGGCTGAGTAATGCATCCTTAAATTGAGGATCCTGTCTGAAGTTCTGAAAAATCTCCAATCTTTTTCTATTAATCATGAAGAGACACTTCAGAATTTTATGAAGTCTTTTCTCAATTAAGGATAATCATAAGTATATACCAAATTTCAGCAGGTACTGTCAAATACTTCACTCCTCTAAAAGATCCACCATATACCAAACCATACTGTTGTTACCTTTTGTAGAAAACTACACCATTGCAGCAATATTGCACTACTGTGCAATGTGAACCTCTTTTGAAACTCGTTGGGGTTATAAGAGAGGATGCAGAGTAGCCCATGGTGCAGACTGACAGTGTGTGTTTGATTGCCCTTCTCCTCCAAGCCCTGTGAGGTGTGACTGAGAAGGTGCTATGGGCAGGCATGTCAAAGGCTCAATTACCAACAGCTCAGGGGCTCAGCTCTCCAGTGGAGGCATTCAGCCACCTTACCTCAAGCACCCTTTCTGAAATGGACACAGGCCAGCTCTTGTCCCTGGACACAGGGCAACCTAAGTTAAAGGCTGCTTCACTGCCCACAAAACTTGCAATTTATGGATCACTTAAAAACCAAAGAAAATCCTCTTGAGAAAAACTGTACTCAACGTGAAAGTCAATGCAAAATCCACATAATCAGGAAAGCTTGTCACTATCTTGTTGCTTGAATCAAACAACACCTTCAAGCTTTTCTGTTCTGAACAAGATGAGAATGTCCTCCTTTATCAGGATAGAAAAGCAAAGTTCAAAGCAAGAGTGACTGAATAGCCATGGGCCTTAAGTCACAATCTCCACAATGATACTCATAATGCACTTTATAATGGGCTCATAAGTGGCTAGTTGAATCTTTAGAGTACTTCAGATTTTAAAATTATGGCAAACAATCCACTGTTACCTTCTACTTATGATCATACATGCCTACAACACATGACTTAAAGAACTATTAACAACATCAGCAGGTTTTATATTTAACCACTTCTTAATTATGGCATGAAGTTTCTGATAAGAAATGTAATCAGCTCATCTTGTAGGTGAACTGTTTCTATTCATTTTTTCAGCCGCTTCTGAGAACACTATGTATGTAAGAAATCCTAGTGGTATGAAAACGTTAATGCAAGTCTGATCCTGGTTAGCAGTTCACAATTAACATCACCACATTTACTGAAAACAGAGTGAAGAAACACTAAGAAAATGTTGTAAAATGATACTCCAAAAGTTCATGCACTGTCATGAGAGAATGGGCTATTGAACCAACTGTGGCATTGTGAAGAAATAATGCTTTTCACGAGTATTCCTAAAATAACCTTCCAAAGTGCCTCTTGGAAACTGCTTGTGCTCATCTCAAAGCTTGATAAAAGTACCCTAATTAATTTAACTATTTTGTATCCAACAGGGTAAACATATGGATTTAATCAAAAGTAAGTAATTTCAGGTGATAGAGCATTATACAAACACAAGGATCTTTCATGCTGAAGGTATGCATTTTGACTGGAGTTTTATTTTTAACATGTCCGTTAAGACAGAAAAGCAATTCAAAAGATGCATTTGAAAACAATGCTTTGGCTAAAAAGGATCAGCCATTGCTAAAAATCTGAAGAAGAATGGTTAAGAAAAAGCCCTTATCTGCTAGATCACTTAAAGAGGTGAAACATTGGAGGTTTGCGTGCTGCAAGAGGTTAGGAGCCACTGCTTTAGAACGGCAGTAAATGAAATGTACAGTCTTCCACCATCTGTTAATCAAGATACTTCTTCAGTCTCCAGTGTCTGAGGTCTTTGACTCTCGAGCTTAACATCTTATTTAGCACAAGGACCCGATCTTTGTAATATGATCCTGAGCCTCCACTACCTCAAGCCTCCTCCTGGCCCTCTCACTCCTTACCTCAGCAAGTCTTGAAAAAATCATTGAGCAATTTGCAGGGATTGGAAGAGAACAACACTGATGACTGCTCTGTGTGTATATTAACTGTGCCAGGACTCATTTCATAAGAATGAGAAGCTTGTCATTTTCAGTTGTGCAGTGTTTTGTGCCAGATGACTTCTGCCTTCCTCCCTGGAGACAGCTACTGAGCCAGCTCTGAACAGATGCAGCTCTACAGACCACCTTCTTCTGGAAGCATCAGATAGTCAAAAAACTTTTATGGCCTCCACACAATTTCTCTCTTTAAATCAAATCAGACAAAAAAGCCCTATCTTCACTAGGAAGCAGCTTCCAGCTCTTTTGTCCTGCTCAGCTTGTGAACCCAGGAGAACCTGCCTCACAGGTACAGAAGTGGGAGCTCTACCCTCCAGGTTTCAGCAGAGATGCTATGGTACAGTGGCATCAGGCACAACAAGGATATTCCATCACCACTCCCAAAGTGTTTCCCTACCAGGAGCCTGAAGAAAAGCAGGGACAAGACAGTTATTTTTTTTCCATAGGCCAGCTCATGCTTTCCTTGCTAAAAAAAAGCACAATTAATGTGAAGAGAAATTAGACCAAGGGACAAGAGACATGGGGAAGAGCTCACCCTGTGCCTTCTCTTATTAAACAAAACTCCTGCTTTGCGTGCAATCCATAGAATATTAAATTTTACATACTCTGGAGTTGGCTTCAAGCCTAACAAAACTGGAACCACCCCATCCTTATTTGCTTTATATAGATAGGTACAGAAACATACAAAGTTGAGATGATTCATGCTCTCTGGAATGAAGGGCAGCAGCACAGCTCTGCTTGAGCAGAGATATTCATGGGAGCGGGAAAAACAGAGTGAGCACTCTGACTGCTGGAAAAAGCTGCTGAAAGTTGTTCTTGGTAGCTGTTGAAGAGAAAGAACATTACTGAAAAAGGGGGTAGGGCAGCCTAGAGAAGAGACTGGAAGGTGCCTGGGCCAAAGAAGATCTTTTGAACTTCTAGTCAACAAAAACAGAACTTGTGAAATAAAGCAGTCTAAAATCAAAATATGTAGTTAGCAATTTTTGCAACTCTTGGAGCTTCTCTGCATATGGCACAAAAAAATGGACAAGGCAAAGACAAGGTACAGTATAAAATTTAAATAACTACTCAATATACAGAAAAATGTAAGTACTAAGCTTCTTAAAAGGTAAGAAATGCTCTGCCCATATTGGCTATGCACTCTAAATGAAATGAAATCTCAAAATACCTTTAGCAATATTGATAGATTCCACATTTTTCTTAAACACACAAGATTAACTTCAGTCCTTTAATCAAAACATTACTCCAAAAACACACAAACACCCAAGTATTCTAAAAGTACTTGGAAAGCATTCTGAAATTTTTAGTAATCACCTCAGGATGTCACAGTTCCTAAGGAAAACTTAAGATTATTTTCCAGAAGTTTGATTGTGGAAAGAAACTGCTGATATGAAACTAGAGAACAACTGTAGATTTAAGGGTGCTGATGTAATTTTTCCACAGAAAGCAGCTGAACTCTGCTGAGAGAGAGCAGTATCAGGTTAGAATGTTATGCTGCTTCATGGACTCAAGCCCCAATGCAGTACATTTCTGCACTGCACTAATGAGATGGCACTCACTGCACAGCTGTACAAATGTCAAGCCTTCAGAAGCTGGGATAACCATATGTCAAACTTCTGTGGTTTTGCCACTTGGTATTTTGGGTGTATGCCTTCATTTGTGATAATAAATATCAGGCCACAAACAAATGTCTCCGCAGATATCTGATATGTTTAACACTCAAAACAGCTTGAAAATCTAAACATTTCTGCTGTTAGCTTGGAGTTCTCCTGGAAGGATTAATCTACAATATATACCAGATGAATAGGCTAGCAATAAGACAATGATTGCCAGTTGTTGGTATGGGTTTCTTTACCATTTTCTACCCATAGTTTTTATCCTGCAGTACACACAAAGTTCAAACAATGCCTTTGTAATGAAAATCTAAATCCTACTGCACATTTCCATGTTGAAGACTGAAAATTTCAAAGTTGCTCCTAATCATATCTTGCCTATAAGAAAGGCAGATGTCTGTAACACATCTGTAGAAATGGACAGAACAGTACCATGTATTTTAACTATCAATTAATGGGCCCCAAGGCTTTTTCTTCATGTAGCAAATATGATAGCATAGTTAAACGACACAGCATCAGACAGTCAGTCTGGAACAGCAAAGGAAGCAGAATTCAACCACAGACTCTCATTTAGAACACTCTTATCACCACACAATTCCTTCTGCATATGCTTACATAAAATATATTCTTATTATGTCTTAGCTTCTGCACCTCTCCAACCAACAACTACTGAGGAGAAATTGCAGCAGCTTAAAGAAAGGCAATTGTGTTATCCAGAGAGCTGACTTGCAAATTTGTTACTGTTATAGCCCACACTAAGAGGAAGGGCTTTGGTTTGACCCTTTGTACACCTGAGGAATTAGCATTAGAGCTGACTAAACCCACAGGATCAATCTCAAAGCTCTGGCTCCTCACTGAAAAAGGCCAGAACACCACAACTGCAAATGAAGCAACATTTTCTGTGGTATTGTTAGAAAAGGTCTCCCTCCTCAATGAAACCAATAGCAATGACTGTCCTTTCCCACCAGAAATCTCTGACTCACAATGGAAAAACCATATATATATACACATACATAAATACTAAGCCCTATCAGTGGGGTCAAGTCTCTGTCTTTACAATTCTGTTTCCAGAGTTGTCTCCAATGAAACTAATGCTCCAAACCAGAACTATCACATTAATAGTTACTTTCCTTTATTATCTACAGAACCCTTTCTGGCCAAAGCAGTAAGGACTCTATAGGAGTCCGAAAACTTTACAAGGTGACGGCATTTCTGTGTTTATTGTAAGCCATTTCTATTGCAAATTGCAACAACTTTTCAAAGTGCAGCAGTGATTTGGAAATGCAGGAACACTAATACATCAATTGCCATGACTAATGTGTAAACTTTTAATGACCTTGGCAAAATCTATCTTTCATTGGGCAAGTGCCACTATTTTGACTGTACAAAATATTTTGGAAATATGTTGAAAATTATACTTGTTTTGGAAAATATTTCAGGATTTCAGTATAGCAAATGGAGCTATATTAAATAAAAGTTTGACATGGAAGAGAAAACACTCCAAGTCTTTTTTTTTTTTTCTTTTAAAAGAGGTATCCTCCAAGTGTTGTACATTCATAGAATGCTGACTTCTTATCCAAACAAACTTAAGAAGATAAAACATTATCTTGAATGGTTTTCAGTTTCATTCAGTCACTGTCATCTTCTTGTTTCAGACCACCTCCTTCTTCACTGTTGCCCTCTCCATCACTTTCCTTGTCCCAGTCCTTCATAGATGCTCCCATCATGAAGTCATCACGCAGTATATTCCATTCTGGCCCCTCTTCAGACTTCACTTCACCCTGAATGTTTGAGGGGAAGAGAAGAAAGAACAGAGGAATGAGATAAATGTAAAGACAGTAAAAGATGCAAGGTCTCCATGCAATCAAATAACACCTCCTACAATCAGCAGACAGAGGGCCAGGTCTTTGTGCAAATGGTACAGAAACATGCAGAACAACCAAAAATGACTTGATGCTAAAATGCCAACTTGTTTTAAACAAACCAATAAAAGAAATATGGAAACAAAACAATTATTCCTCATGGATGAAACAGTCACCCTAGGTATGGCTTCCTTTATTAAAATCTTTCTTGGCAATCAGAATGGACTCATGATATAATTTATTAACCCCCAGGTGCTGCTTCATTAGAACACTTCTTGGCACATTTCTAAAACACAAATATGGATTTAATAAAGGCTTAACCCCTCCAAATTTAATATTTAACATATTCAGTGATTCATGAACTAAATCCCCTTTATGTGAATTATTACCTCACTACCTGGGCTTGTCATATGGTACAAAGCTGCCTCTAAAAGAAACAAAGCTGATCTACTCTTAGCAAGCCAACAACACCTTACTCCAAATTTCCTACCCTTGGAAGTGGATAAACTCGAGGCCCACTGCATGGACTGGTGAATAATAAAGAGAAGGGCCGGGAGTGGAGTTTCAGGTTAGTGCGGGAAACAGCGCTTGGTCGCGGCTCCCGGAGGTGACAGATCACATTTGGGCAGTGCAACAGCCCCATCCTGTGGCAACACTTTCAAACAACAGCTGGAAGCTATGCTTGCATCCTTTCCGGAGGAAAATACCGAAAGCTGCTCGATGAACTGAGGAACGATTTATTTCAGTGTTAATGCCTTAGCAGCAAAACATTTTTGACGAACAACATGGATCAGTGTCCAGCAGGCAAGCAAAAAATTGTCCTACCAAAGTGGAATTAGGGGCACTGAAAACACTAATTTGTTTCTGCAAGGTCTTTGAAAATAAATTTAACACTGGCACCCCAGGGAGGCTTTCCCCACTCCCATGCTCCAAAGAAGGGACCTCAGCATCCTCTGCAGACAAGATTTGCCTGCTGGATGCAAAATCTGCAGTAAATGTATGATCACTGTAGATATCTGTCCATGCCTCTTCTCTGCCATGCATCTAGGAATGTGATACCACTGCATATTTAAGCTGAAGCCTGTGGGAATCAAGATTTGGAACAGAGCAGCATACAGAATTTGCTTTCAGGAGAAAAGAGAAATGAAGAATGAGAGTCCATTACTGTAAATAAAACATGTCCTATCACACTATCAGAAGTTATCTGAGTGCAAAATGTCTGCCAAACAAGGTATGTGTTTTTAATAGCTAATCAAAGCAGAAATGCTACATGTGACTTCTGCAGTTCTTTATCAAACACTGCCCTCACAAAAACAGGATAACAAGTCTTAACATTTTTCTTCCCAAAAGGAATTTCCCAGGGCCCAGCTCAAATAAAGAGAAACTCTACAGCTGTTCCTCAAGATGTTTGCACTGGGTTTGGGTTTAGGGTTTGCTTTTGTGCCTTTACAGATGCTCTCTCATTAATGGCTACTCCCATCCAACAATTCCCCTTTTTCCTAGGGTAGTGCCTCCTAAGCACTCATCACTCTTGCAGAAATTTACTTCAAATGCTACACCCAGTAAGCCTAAAATCATCTCAGAAGGGGCAATCAATGACCTGGAATTAAAGAGCTACAGATAAGGTAGGTCCCTAGCCAGACCTTAAAATTTTCACATGAGATTCATCTGTATTATTATGATAGTGCAAACACAGGTAGTCTGTTCTGGGATGCAAGGAGAGGGTAACTTTATCTTTCCCAGATCTTTGATAAATCAATATTTGAACCGTGAAATTTAAGAGTTGAATCTGAAATACTTAAAAGGAAACATCCCATATTTCTTACAAAACAATCTACATTTTTGGTTTTCAATAATAAACCCAATAGAATTGCCTTTTTTTTTTTTTTTTTTTTCCCAGATGTGCAGAACAGGGATTTTTTTTCTTATTTTGTTTTGGTTTTTAAACAGCACAGAAGGAGTAGATTATTATCAGCAATCACAGTTGTAGGCTCAGGGTCTGGAAAGCTCCTTCTTTCTGGCTATGTCAAGTGAACAACAGCACAAGAGCAGAACTTTAACAAAAGAGGGATGGTGATCTTCCGTAGCATCACCCATTCTGTAAAGCACCACAAAGGCCTGAATAGAGTTTTACAACAAGCCCAAAGGAGAAGGACAGAGGTAGCATGTTCATGCCTCAAAGATTAAATGCTTGAAAGCAAATATTTAATCAATTTTAAGCATGCCTCCAAGTGAAGAAAATGCCTTATTTAGTATCTTCATTCCTAACTCATTTACTACTTATTTTCCCCTCAGAATAAAAATTCTACAAATCTACTGCATCACAAAACATTCTCAAAGTCTTAAGAAAATATGCAGTGAGAATATTTGTATAATTGACAATTAGTTGAACTGTAACATCACTTCCCAACTTGCTTTATGTAAGAATGTTAATACAGTTGGGTTTTCAATGCCATAATCTAGTTTCATCTAAATAAAACAAAACTGATTCTTGGCACGTGGAAAATAAACTAACTTTCAATCTACACAAATGCTTTTGAACTCCCAGTCAGCTGTTCATGCACATCTCACTACCACACTGAAGTCCCCTTTGAACATCCCCAAATGAAAACAAAGCAGAATCTGAATTCTTCAGTAAGGCAAGGAGTGAAGAATTCTCATGTTGCTTTTTTTCCTCTCCTCTTTTATACACTGGAAATGGGTTTTTTTGGCCAGAAGGGTCTGGCAACCTATTTCAAAAGGTCTGAGAGGCAGCAATTAGTAAAATACCTCTAGAATCACTGTCGTTTTACTAATTGCTGGTGATGAACTTCTTATCATGAGCTGAAATAAGGCAGACCAAAGCATGCACTGTGGTTACTCTAGTGCTGATACTTGCTCTGATGAACTCATAGTCCAGTTGAAGAGTTCATGTAAATTTAAAAAAAAAACCTTGCCTACTTGCTAGGCTATCACAGCATTAGCTAAAGCCTCTTACAAGTAGGGCTCCATAGTGGGGACATACTTCCTGAACTAATTCTGCTTTGAAGACATACTCCCTAAAATCTGCACCAGGACAAGATGAACTGAAATTCTTGGTCAAGTCCTAATAAAACAAAGGTCCAAACTAGGCTCCAAGTAAGCTTAGTTCTGTCACTCAGAACAAGTAGCTGACCCTTGCAGGATCCAGCCTGGAACTGCCTCCTGGATGCTTTAAAAGGAATTGGTCTATGAAAGCCTTGTGGTAGCAGCAGCAGCTATAAGATCAAGTTAGAAATCGCCATGTTTTTGTTCGTTTCTTTACCACCACAAAAAACTGGAGCTACAAAATTTGATCTTGGTAAATGACAAGACAGTATATGAGACCTGCCAAACTCAACACTGGAGCTGTGGCAGACAGCACTGACATCAAGGTGTGGGATCAATCCTCTCTGCCCCATCTGAAGCAGGATGATACCTGCCCAAGCTTTTCAGAACCTTACACTCAAGCAGACTGAAGTCCATAGTCTTACTGGTAAGTAATGGCATTAAAAGATATGCCTTGAAATCGGACAAAAGACAACATTTCACTCCACTGTCCACCAGCTTGGGTCACTTGAGCAACTCCAGCTTCTGCATCTGCAAAGCAACAAACACACCTACAGCACCATGGAGATTCCCTGAGAGCAGTGTCCAGAAGAAGACAGGAATTCCAGGGTTTTAGAAAAGGAACATTTTTCAGACCTAAGGATTACAATCATCACACTGGACCCCTACGCTTTTGCTTTGTGTATAAGGTGAAATGCCAGAGCTTGCAGGGGCGTCTCTCTTTACCATCACCTACAATAAATGTTTATTTGTACCTGTCAGGGAAGGAATTTCTAACATAAATATCTCTCAAGCAACAACTTTAAGCACTGAGAAAACAATTCTAACATGTCTAATTAATCTGAACTGCCTCCCCAGGTTCCTCTGTTTTGCTCAATACAAACATTTAAGACCTTGAGACATAGTGAAGCTTTTGTCATGATGAAGAATTTAAAAAGCGTAACTGCCAGAACACATTCTCACAAACATCTGACAATTACCTTCCCTGTCAGCCCGCATCTTGCTCTGAATGACTGCTTCTATTCTGGTTCTCATCTCCAAGCAAGTCCATGTAAACTGAGCTCAAAAAACCCCTATCAGGCAGCACAGGCATACACTGAGTTGTGTTAAATCTCAATTTAAAATAAAATTTTAAAAATCTAATTAATCTCAATTTAAAGTAACAATAATAATAATAAACCCCTCACTTGGCAGAAGAGGGGGAGGGAATAAAAAGCAAAGAACACCAGCATAATCATTTCTCCTAAGTTAATTTTCAGCAATATGCGAGCTCACAGGTAAGAAAATAAATTTCCTTCAGGCTGAGAAGAAATGAAAAAAACTGCAGCCAAAGTACCTAAAGCAGAAAACAAAATGTAATGATTTTTAACAGGAAATTTATACTTGGGGTTTAATCATTAGTGCTGCCAGCAACTTAATCTGATTTGAAACGCAGCAAGATCTTGACTCTAAGAAAAGTTTCTACGTAAGCCTGATCCCAAACAGCCAAAAACCCCACAAATCTGCAAACTGAGACTACAACCTACACCACTATTATCTTGAACTTCTGAGCTGAATTCTCACAGCAGCTCGCTCTGAGAAGCATTTTCAGCTTCCAGAACATGTGAGCTGCACAACAGAAATTTATTCTGCTGCAGTATAATTCTGCACAATCATTTATTCCTTAGGGTGAGAGTTATTCAATACCTATCTGCATTCTCTCTCTGAATGAGAAATTAAAGCAACTGAACTAAACTGCCCTGGTTTACTTGAAGTGACACTACACTGTGCGTATCAACAGCGGGACAGGGGATTTACTCAGATCACAACTTTCTCATATACATCAGAATCTTCTCTGGCAATTCTAGTAAATA